CCTGCCTTCCCCCCAATTGAGCCTACAACCGAGGCACGTGTCCCCGACTGAAATCGAACCCAGGATGCTTCAGTCTGCAGGCGGATGCTCTATCCACTGAGCCAAACCAGCTAGGGCAGTTGTTTTTCCTTTTTCAAAATAAATCATCTTTAAGCTGCTTTTAATATTTTTACTAGTAATTTTAAAAAATCCTATGACTATTTTTACTTAACAGTGCTTTTTCTCTATGACCTACCCATTGATAAGGTAACTATTCAATAATTTAAAAATAAAATAATCTACTACTTTATTAAGCAAACAATAAGTAACCTTTTAGATCCTGGGCCTCAACATTCCTTTGCTATTCAAATCAAAATGCAGTAGTCGTCTCACATTTGTTACCATGAATTCCAAAAGAATAATCTACATTCTAAAAACCTTTTTATACAGAAGGACAAAGAGAACATAACTAAGCTGGAGTCTTTCCATATCATTGTCTTCTGGGGTCCAGGCAGCAGAACCATGATATAGGTGAAAAAGTAGTGTGGCCAGGCTCCAGTGTATATGACTCAAACTGAAGAACAAAAAGTTGAACTGTGAATACATTAGCTTAGCTCACGAAAAGGATGCTACCTATAGGGTCTCCATTTTTAGAGACCAAACAAGGGCAAATGAGCTAAAATAGCAGGATCAATGTGGGTGATTTATAAAACAATACTTTCTAACAATAGGTATCCAGAGGTTAAGGATATGCATTGCTCATACCTCCTAGAGCAGGGGTCCTCAAACTTTTTAGACAGGGGGCCAGTTCACTGTCCCTCAGGCCGTTGGAGGGCCGGACTATAGGTTAAAAAAAAAACTATGAACAAATTCCTATGCACACTGCACATATCTTATTTTGAAGTAAAAAAACAAAACGGGAACAAATACAATATTAGTATTTGCATGTGTCCCGCGGGCCGTAGTTTGAGGACCCCTGTCCTAGAGAATAAGATAGGCTGCTCATTTGTTTGGGATGGGTCTTGATGGGAAATATTCTGGAAGGCAGGATGGTATCTTTCTGAACTTGAAGTCCATCTTTCTCCATAGGGGTTCAAACCTTGGAATTGTAGCTCATTTGTTACTCACAGTGCCAATCAAATCCAGTTCCAGACTCTCCACCTTCACCTAACTCCCACTGTAGAATCATCTCAGCAGGAGCTCATCCTCCTCTCACTCCAAATCAAAATGTAGCCATGCCCTGGCAGGTTTGCTCAGTGGATAGCGTATCAGCCTGCAGACTGAAGGGTCCCGAGTTCAATTCTAGTCAAGGGCAGCTCCGTGTCCTGGAGGGTGGCATGCGGAGGCAACAAATTGATGTGTCTCTCTCACATCAGTGATTCTGTCTGTTACTCCCTGTCCCTTCCACTCTCTCTAAAATATCAATGGAAAATATATCCTCGGGTAAGGATTAAAAAACAACAACAAATGTAGCCAAGACTTCTTGATGGGGGCTTCTTTTCTTACTCCATCTTCTGATGTCTGATGTGTGATACGCAGGGCCATTCAGAGCAATGACTTACGGCTATAACAAGCAATTGAATGTAATTCAAGAAACAACTCTGTAAAATAAGGAATATAAGAGCAGGACTTTTTGTTTTTATGTTGGTCAAATACTGCGGGGCAAATGGCTGAGTGTTCGCTGAGCAATATTTCTATTTCCTTTTGTTAATAAAAAATCAAAATCATTAAAATTTCCTTTAAAATAAGCTACAAATAGATCTATTTGTAAAAATGAGAGGAATCTTTTCGCCCAGAGTATATTGGAAAGATGGGATGTTAAGTATTCAATTGGTTACATATACGTTTTAGACATTATAGTATCTAATGACTGACATCTGGCGAAGCCTTATTTCAGTTTTCTAACACCAATACAAAAGCTGTTATAAAAACGTATAAGGGTAAGGTGATTTTTAAAAATAACTGTTAAATTTAGCCCTTGCCAGTTTGGCTCAGTGGATAAAGCAACAGCCTGCAGACTGAGGGGTCCCAGGTTTGATTCTGGTCAAGGGCACAGCTGTAGGCTCGATCCCCAGTAGAAGGCTGCAGAGTAGCAGCCAATCAATGATTCTCTCTCATCATTGATATTTCTCCCTCTCTATCCCTCTCTCTCTGAAATCAATAAAAATATATTTTAAAAAGTAACTGTTCAATTTAATATTGTCACTTAGTGATAAAGCCATTTTTTTTCAATCCTAATTTTAATTTGTATCTGTCCCCTTTCTTTAATGGGGGTTTGAGCTTCCACACCGTCCTCTTTAGTTTCTGTACGATAAAGTGACTATTTTCTTCTTTTTAGCAGAGCTGGATGAGGAACATCGCTGCATTTGATTGGTTGGCTTGTACGGGATCACTCACTCCTCTGGAAAGGCACTGTCCCATATCACATTGCTATAAATGTGGACTTAATTGGGGTTAAATATCTAAATTGAAGCATTTACCATCAGAGAACATAAGCTTCAGGACTCCTATGTTACTTAGATTTTTACACAACATAATGACTTAATGTGCTTCTGATGAAGAGCTCTGCTTTGGAGCAACCTTAAATACCACACCCAGAAAGAACTGACTCTGGCACACAGGTAATTTGGGGTCCTAGTACATTTTATAACAAAGCTAGTACAATTTTAAAAAGAATAAATTCAAAATACACAAATTGACTTCAATAAGATTAACAACACTGAGGAAGACATGTCAGCTAAGTCAAGTCAAATAAACTACTCTATACTGTTTATTCCCACATAAAACAATGACTTTCAATTTTGTATTCCTCATTTCTAAGCTACTCAAAGAACATGATCACTTTTCAAATTTCATTATTTTATCTGAAAGAATTTACTGAGCAAAATGCTTAGTTGCAGGATTTTACTTTTGTAACCCATCAGGTTACAATATTAGTGACTACAAGTTTCTTCCCCAGTGCAGACATTCTGTATGTTTTATTTACCTTCTGTCACTTTTTATTTCCTCCTAAACTTTATATGCCCAAGAATGAAACTGCATTGGTGTTATGTAACATTTCACATTTGCAACATACATACTGACTTATCTGTCCCTTGAACCCACTTCCCTGAAAAAGAAACACAGGTAATCCAGAAAAAAAACACACAAAACTACCTTTCAGTGTATAGTGAGAGTCTAGGCGTGTAGAAATAAAAGCACTTAAAAACAGTTGTATGGAAGGGTCAGGATGCATCTTTCCTTGTTGGTAGCAACCCCCACGATTTATTAACAACCACAGGCAGCCAAGACCGTAGGCTGCACACACAAGTTGGGAACCCAGCAGGCATTAAGGCTTTCAGGTCTCTTACAACTGTTGTGATTCGAAAAACCCAAAGCAAACAAGCGCAGAGGCCTGATAAAGTGCTCCGAACAGAGCCTCTTCGGCAGCCCGGGGTGAACCATATGACTCCGGTGGACGATTTAGACCAAACGGTGCGCCCTTTTCTTTCACTGGGTCTATAAAGCCCATAAATTATGTTTGGTCCAGAAAAGCAGAAGTTATTAGCACCTTCCTTTCCCCACTTTTTAATATCCCATACATAAACAATTCTTAAGCCACGGTCTTCATTCATTGACTAAACAAGATCCTGGGTGCCTTTTTGGTGACCACTCCTCCCAAGCTGACCTGACTTGACAGCGATTTGAAAGGCCCCTCCGTGGAAAGGGTCGAGACCATGAGGTTCGTCATCCAAAGGTGGACGCGACTTGCTTTTATTTACTTATTTATTCGAGGGGCGGCGATGGCCGCGGCTGGACTAGGACGAGGGTGGAGGAGAAGGGGCGCGCGGGCTGTGAGCTGGGCATGGGAGCCCTCGGAGAAGGGGGGCAGCAGCCAAGTTCCACCAGCTCCG